TAACGTAACAACATTTTCGGAAATTTACAGTGGCATGAATGAAACACGAAATAAAATGGAACATGAGTGAAAAAAAATTTTAATATTGGTTAAAACTGGTTTATATCTGACCGCAGAACCTGAAAATGTTGAACATATGTAATATTATGTATGTAATTTGAAGTAGTGAAGCGTAATCAATAAGACACTCAATTTCGAATTTTTTGATGATACGTTATTCATTTGAAGAATTTGAAAAATATTCCCGCCTTCATGAATAGAAATGAAGTGCGAAGATAGTGAGAATATCACTGTTCGCGACCACGAGCATTACGCTCGAGTAGCTAGGGGTTTTCAAAGCAATTCTTTGAGGCAAATGAAAAAGATAAAAGAACTAAGAAGGAAAGTTTTCCTGTTAACAAAAAAATGTCAAGCTCTGGAAAAAAACGTCATAATAACAAGCGATGCAAATGAACATGCGATAACATTCGCAAAGATGATTTTAAAGAAAAAAACTCCTACGATGAAAAGGAGAAATCAATGGCTTTAAACATCAATTATATGTCGACTAAGACATATAATTTTATGCGCGACGATTTGGGGTTTGCATTGCCCCACAAAAAAACACTTTTGCGTTGGCGTCCGATCCGGTATGTCTGCCCCGGTATCGACGAAAAAGTCTTGAACAATTTAAAAAAATTGTTCAAGACTTTAAACCAGAAGAACGCATATGCCAAATAATTTTCGACGAAGTCTCAATCAGAAAAGATCGGACGTACAACAAAGTACGAGATGTGATTGATGGCTTCGTCGATAATGGAGAAGGTCACCGGGAAAGCGTGATCGGCAATAAGTGTTGCTTTTTTCATGTTGAAAGGCCTAGTCGCAAAATGGAAATATGTAATTTCCTATTATGTGGCAAAAGATGGCGTAAAAGTGAATTTGTTAAATTTGCTCAAGAGCAATATAAATGCCTCGGAAGAAATCGGGCTTAAAATCAAGTCAATAGTGTGTGACCAAGGTGCACAAAATGCCAAATTGAGGCAACTATTAGACGCTACGACAGAAAAGCCATATTTCTTTCATAATGAAAGAAAAATATATATGATGTTTGACTATTGCCATTTAATAAAATGCATGCGCAATATGTTATTAAAGTATGACGTTGAAACGCAAGATGGGCTGACAACTTTTAAAGTTGTCCGAAAAATATATGCCATAGACCAGGCGAACGTTAATTTTAAAATGTGCCCTAAATTAACCTATTCGCATGTGTACCCCGCAAACTTGGAAAAAATGTCAGTGTCAAGAGCGACACAAATATTTAGCAATTCGGTCGCCGCGGCAATTGATATGGCAATAAAGGAAAATTTATTGGGCTCCGATGAGCATTTAAAAAAATGCGCTAAAGCAACCCAACTGCTGGTAAAAAGAATGAATGATCTGTTCGACGAATTGGATTGCAAGACGCTTTACAATCCAAATCCGCGAAGACGACCAATACAAAGAGATTGTATTGAAAAAATAAACAGATTAAAAGATCACATTCAATATATAAAAAATATTAAAAAGCCCAACAGCCAAATATTATGCCTCGATTCATTTGTATTAACAATAAATGCAATGATTGCATTGAGCGGCGATATATTCGATGAATATTCGAATATATCATTTATACTCTTAGGGAGAATGAACCAGGATGCACTGGAAAACTTTTTTTATAAGATACGGGCAAATTTAGGATGTAATAATCATCCATCAGCACACGAGATGCAATATATTGTTGCAAGGCTATTGTCCATGCATATATTGCGACGCAACTTCTCGCAAACAGGCAGCAATTGCGAAGAAGACGACGACATAAACCTTGATTGGAATATTGGCCAGGAAGACGACCTGAAAGAAAATTTAAAACCGTCTGAGCAACTTGCCGTGGAACAAATATATGTTCCAGATGAGCACTTTGCTCAGACCGAAAAACCAGCAGAAAAACAGGTTCGTCGCTATTATACTGGATATGCAATATACCAGAAGGTTTTTTATGTAGATTAAAGTGCGAAAAATGTGCATTTTAATGCGAAAGAGTGATATATCTTTACAAGACTCATCGGAAGCCCTTATAAGGTCAAAAAATTATAAAAGCGCAATGACCTAAGGCTGGTTAATCCCGATGATAGAGTCTTCGAGATAAGCCGCCTTCAAATGAGCCTGCTATAAAGAGCTCTTTATAGCAAAAAAACAGACGCTTCATTCATAAAAATAGACGCCGTACATCTCCCCGAGCATGCCTTTGCCAACAAGCGTCTTTTCGCGACGATGGCAAAAGCTAAAAATCATAAATTGAACAACTTTCTGATGCTTCTTCACAGAAAGAAGTGAGAAAAGTGGCAACATAGGAGTTGTCGATTTATAATATTTGTCTAAAATATTTTTCCGTGAC